CAATCCCTCCAACAGCAGTAAAATCCATAAATAATTAAAATACAAACATACATTAAAAATGTCCTAAAAACCCCCTGTATATTATCAATCAGATTTGACAGTCTCTTTGATTATCAAAATGTTGCATCTCTTGGACCATATTTGCTGATATTATATTTATATCTTGCCTTTCCTCTGGGAGCTCAAGGTGGCACAAAAAGTATCCCCCCTATTTTATTCTCACATCAACAGCCTTGTGAGGTACATTGGGATTATCTCCAAGTCATTTAGGGAACTTCATGATTGAATAGGGATTTCATCCTACAGTATGTCTCTCCAGTCTCAGCCCAACATCTAGCCTTTATACCATGTACACTAAGCATATGCAATAGCCACACATATATCTTGGTGAAATACATTCATGTTTCTAAAGTGTAAGGTGGAGTGATATGTAATCTTGACAAAAAGTCAAAAAGAGGGCCATTTATCTTAAGCATTATGCCAGCCTTATTTATCTTTGGAATCTATCAATGGAAATGAAGCCTTGTAAAATTTCAAAATTGAATGAGTTGTTTTCATGCTATGGTGCTATTAAACATTATGTCAACCTTGTTTCTCTTTGGAATCTATCAATAGAAATGAAGTCTTGTAAAATTTCAAAATGAAATTAGTTATATTCATGCCATGGCGCTCTTACATTTTAGGGCTAGCCTTTTGTATGTTGCAATCCAAATGCTTTGTTTGCTCTGGAACAGGTGCTAGGCTAGTGGATTCCATTGTCATTGGCCCTGAAAGAACTATGGAGCCAACTGTGCTCACATCTGCACTACCACATGACACTACTGGAGGAGTTTCCTTGAAGCTACAAACTGCCATAAATATAGTTTCTTGGAGTCATGGAGCCATTCCTGTTCTGATCTGCAAACTGGACAGTAAAGCAGCTGTAAAGGCTTGCTTGACAGGCGAGCTGAAGGAGGGTGAAGGCACAAAACTCTCTTTTGTGGAAACGTGAAATCTTTTGTAAAGGGCCCTTCAATTATGTGCAGAATTTCTGGGACAATAATATTCATAGATCCCTTTGTTTCAGTCATATATGTGTATTTGTTTTATGTCATTTTATGCACCTCACAAATTCAAATCAAAATGTTTTTAACATCTTACAAAGCAATGGCGTTTTTAATATCGATAAACATATATTCAGTTCACATTTATATCTTCCTTACTCTCATAAGGTCACTTTGGTGGTTGATTGCTGTTTTCATTACTAGAGTGCTTGATAAAACCATATCATACAGAAAAAAATATTGATTTTCTTCAACTAAATCCAAATTATGTATTAATTTTTCCATCAAAGAAATAAATCTGTCATACCATTTTTTCTTCAGTGCCCTTTTTAGATATTTCCAGTATTTTGCTATTACTAATCTAGCAGCTATTAATAAGAATGTTAATTGTGTCTCACTTTTTGTATAAATATAAATATCTATATAAAAATATTTATATAAATATTCTTACCAAAAGGTAATGATAGACGGCCCAGATATGGTTTCTCTATTATTTCATTACTAATTGTTGTACCCTATAATACCATGTCCCCAGATTTACTTATTTTTGGATTTCTCAACCATACATGTAAAGAGATATCTTAGATCTCCCCTCCACCCCAATGTTTTTATTATATATAAAATTTTTAACTGGAGTGAGATACCAATGGTGTAAAATCTTTTTAGGTGTGTTTCCTGCAAAATTGTTGAAGGGAAACCTAGGAATGGATTCTTCCATACTCACTTCCATTCAACTTTTAGGATTTGTGTCTCAAAATCTAATTCTTGTGTCAAATTTTTGTATCCCCAATTTCTAACATTTTAATCATTTTTCCAAGAATGTTTTGTACCAGTATAATATGTATTAAGTATGTGTTAAACTCTCATCTTACTCCATCTCCAACTAGATTTAGTTTTCACTCTTCACCTTAATTTGATGCAAGTACTGCCACAACTAATTTCACAAGGCATGCTGTCCCTTGCTCACACGGTATGCTATTTGTTTAGTACTGTGCATCACTCTTTCAAAGGCTGTAATACCCATAAGAGGGAGTCAGTAAACATGTAGAAACATGCTGCTTAATGTTTTTAGTTAATACTGGCAGAATAAAAGCAGTCCTAAAATATATCAAGCAAATAATCATTAAAGAACACTATTACCATTATTAGGAGAGCCAGTTTGGTGTACTGTAGTGGCTAAGGCACCAGGCTAGAAACTAGGAGACCGTGAGTTTGTCCTGCCTTAGGAACAAAGCTAGTTGGGTGACCTTGGGCCAGTCACTTTCTCTAGGAAAGAGGCAATGGCAAACTACTTCTGAAATCTTGCCAGGAAAACTGCAGGGACTTGTCCAGGTAGTTGCAAGGAGTCAACGCTGACTCAAAGGGACACACACACAAAACCCATTATTAAAAGTAAGATCAAATTATTATAATGTGAATACTTTTAGTTTAGTTCCCAGCCATTCTATTCCACTGCTCCCTTGTTCTCCCCCACCTTTCACTAATTGTCATGCCTTCTGACCATGTTCAGTTCTCACTGGCTGGTTTGTGATTTTTTCTCTTCTTCGATGGAATAATGGATGCTACTGTTGACAGACTTAATGTGAATGATGAGGTAATATCTATATATTAGTCCACTGGACACCCAGGAACTCTAAGTTAGAAAGGGTTCTATTCTTGGGCTGATCTACTTTTTTTCCCTTTCTCCTTTCATTTGATCCCCTCCCTCCTTCTCATTAATTCTGTTTCTGTATATATGTGTTTATGCATATATAATATTTTAGTAATTAAATATGATTAGATGCCTTGCAGATCATTTGGTTCATCCCTTGGTTGAATGTGGGACAATCTTTTAATAAATTAATATAATAAATTTAGAGATGAATTTGTACATTTTTATATGAAATATGGCATTTGGCCTAGTAACAAGAAGGAAAAGAATTTATTCTTCCTAACATCTTTAAAAAAATGGTACAATGTACAGGGAAATCCTTGGGATTAAATTCCATTACTACTTGCAGTCATTTCTGCAGCAGCCTCTATGTCCAAAGGACATAGAAATCAATTCAGGAAAGAGCAATTAAGGGACCTGAGGTCCTCAGAAAAGAAGCTGTGGGAAGTGGCTGAGAGAAGAGGAAA